ATATTGGTCCTCTGAAAACAAGTGTTCCTGTTGAAAATCACTTTCTATTTTTCGAATCAGTTAGAAATTCAGAAAAAGTTTCTCGCAGTCGACTCTTCCAGAACAAGGGTTTTTTTGACGATAGATTATTCTAGAATCTTCACAAAACTTTCTCAATTCAATTGTTTTATAAAATTCAAGCTTGTACCATGATGGAAATTCTTCTGTATCTTCTTATTGTCACAAAAATTCTACTGAAATCTTCTTGAATTCCCCTTATCGAAGTTCTTCGAATCGTCTTGAATTTCTTCTCATTCGAATATCAATTCCAAACTAAAGTCTAAATTCGTTTTTCCTTCTTTTTAGGAAATAGTAATCAAATTGGGATTTATTGTGCACAATAACTAAAATATCAAAAAATATATTCCGTTTCTTCCCCTGTTGCCAAATTTCAAATTAGTGTAACTTAGGAAGAACAAAATTTTAAAACCATTTGTTTTCTTATTCTTCTCTTTTTTCGGCCTCTAATTTGATGATGGAAAAATACTAAACTACCAAGATGCTGTTCTTCTAAAATCAAATGTTTCTGTAGAAAATCACTTTCTATTCTTCAAATCATCTAGAAATTTAGAAGAAGTTTCTCGTGGTCAACCCTCTCAGAACAAAGGTTTCCTGACGATAGATTATTCTAGAATCTTCACAAAACTTTCTCAATTCAATTGTTTTATAAAATTCAAGCTTGTACCATAATGGAAATTCTTCTGTATCTTCCTATTATCACCAAAATTCTTCTGAAATCTTCTTGAATTCCCCTAATCGACGCTCTTCGAATCGTCTTGAATTTCCTTTCATTCTAATATCAATTCCAAACTAAAATCGAAATTCGTTTCTCCTTCTTTTTAGGAAAGAGTATTCAAATTGAGATTTATTGTGCACAATATAACTAAAATATCAAAAAATATATTCCGTTTCTTCCCTTGTTGCCAAATTTCAAATTAGTGTAACTTAGGAAGAACAAAATTTTAAAACCATTTGTTTTCTTATTCTTCTCTTTTTTCGGCCTCTAATTTGATGATGGAAAAATACTAAACGACCAAGATGCTGTTCTTCTAAAATCAAATGTTTCTGTAGAAAATCATTTTCTATTCTTCAAATCATCTAGAAATTTAGAAGAAGTTTCTCGTGGTCAACCCTCTCAGAACAAAGGTTTCTTGACGATAGATTATTCTAGAATCTACACAAAACTTTCTCAATTAAATTGTTTTTTAAAGTTCAAACTTGTACCATAATGGTAATTCTTCTGTTTCCTCCTATTATCACAAAAATTCTTCTGAAATCTTCTTGAATTCCCCTTATCGACGTTCTTCGAATCGTCTTGAATTTTCTCTCATTCTAATATCAATTCCAAACTAAAATCGAAATTCGTTTCTCCTTCTTTTTAGGAAAGAGTATTCAAATTGAGATTTATTGTCCACAATATAAGTAAAATATCAAAAAATATATTCCGTTTCTTCCCTTATTGTCAAATTTCAAATTAGTGTAACTTAAGAAGAACAAAATTTTAAAACCATTTGTTTTCTTATTCTTCTCTTTATTCGGCCTCTAATTTGATGATGGAAAAATACTAAACTACCAAGATGCTGTTCTTCTAAAATCAAATGTTTCTATAGAAAATCACTTTCTATTCTTCAAATCATCTAGAAATTTAGAAGAAGTTTCTCGTGGTCAACCCTCTCAGAACAAAGGTTTCTTGACGATAGATTATTCTAGAATCTACACAAAACTTTCTCAATTAAATTGTTTTTTAAAGTTCAAACTTGTACCATAATGGTAATTCTTCTGTTTCCTCCTATTATCACAAAAATTCTTCTGAAATCTTCTTGAATTCCCCTTATCGACGTTCTTCGAATCGTCTTGAATTTTCTCTCATTCTAATATCAATTCCAAACTAAAATCGAAATTCGTTTCTCCTTCTTTTTAGGAAAGAGTATTCAAATTGAGATTTATTGTCCACAACATAAATAAAATATCAAAAAATATATTCCGTTTCTTCCCTTGTTGCCAAATTTCAAATTAATGTAACTTTGGAAGAACAAAAATTTAGGACCATTTGTTTTCTTATTCTTCTCTTTTTTTCGACCTCTAATTTGATGATGGAAAAATACTAAACTACCAAGATGCTGTTCTGCTAAATTCAAATGTTTCTGTAGGAAATCACTTTCTATTCTTCAAATCATCTAGAAATTCAGAAGAAGTTTCTCGTGGCCAACCCTCTCAACAATAGACGATAGATTATCCTATAATCTTCACAAAACTTCCTCAATTAAATTCTTTTTTCAAGTCCAAGCATGTGCCATAATGGAAATTCTTCTGTTTCTTCTTATTATCGGAAAAAATTGTTATGAAATCTTCTTGAATTCTCCTCATCTAACTATTTTCTCCAAGTATTTTTAATACTTGTTCCATTTCCACGTCTTTGTTTTTGATCGTACTAGTTTTCGTTGGACTCCAGATTTGTTTTTCCATTGTCTAACCAGAAGTTCGTTCTTCTTGACTGTCTACATCTATAATTCAAATTTGATGATGAAAAAGTTCTGAACTACGAAGGTACTATTCCTCTAAAATCACTTTCTATATTTCGAATCATCTAGAAATTTAGAAAAAGTTTCTCGTGGTGAATCCTGCCTCCAATTAAATTCTTTTTTGAAATTCAAGCTTGTGCAATAGTGGAAATTATTCTGTTTCTTCTTATTATCGGAAGAAATTGTTTTCAAACTTTCGTGAATTCCCCTTATCTAACTTCTTCGAACCATCTTGAATTTCTTCTTATTTTAATATGTATCAATCAAGTTAAAAGCGAAATTCGTATTTCTTCCCTTTTAGAAAATAGTGTGCAAATTGAGATTTATTGTGCTCAATCTAACTAAAATATAGAATATATTCTGTTTCTTCCATTGTTGCCAAATTTCAAATTAGTCTAACTTAGAAAGGACAAAAATTTAGGACTCCATGTCTTCATCGATAAAATAGGTATCTCTTTCGTAATCTACCCTTCCTTTTTCTCGTTCCGTTTTCCTTTTTATTATTACATTATTTCTTCTTTTCGTTCTTTCTTCCTTGTATATTTTTTTCTACATAGCTTGCATTTTTATTCAGAAGTTCTTTTTTCTCTCGGTGCAATTTTCTTTCTTTTTCTACAATTTATTTTCTTAGAATTTTTACTTCTCCCGTAAGACATTAGTTTTCTTTTTAATATATTTTAGGTTTTCCTGGAGTTATCCGAGTATTTTTAATACTTGTTCAATTTCCACATCTGGAACTGCAGATTGTTTTCCTATTGTCTAACTAGAAGTTCTTTCTTCTCTAGTGTCTACATCTATACAAATCCATCAAGATCCAAGATACTGTTCCTCTAAAATCAAATATTCCTGCAGAAAATCACTTTCTGTTTTTCGAATCATCTATAAATTCAGAAAAAGTTTCTCGTGGTCAACCCTTTCTTTGAGGATAGATTATTCTAGATTCTTCACAAAACTTTCCATTTGTTTTCTTCACGAATCTGTTTTCAATTTTCAGATCTCTTGCAATGTTTTCATCAATAATATAGATATATGTTTCCTGATCTTTTATTATTACATTATTTTTTCTTCTCCTTCTGTCTATTATCTTCTTCATGGCTTCCAGTTTATTTAGAAGTTCTTTTTCCTCTTGTTGCCATTTTGTTTTATTTTCTTCCATCTCTTTTTTCAAGTTTTCTGGTAAGCCACTGGTCCTCCTTTTTTATTTCTTTTAGATCTGCGTTTATTATATAAGTATATAGAAAGTTCTTTCTCTTCACTGTCTGTATCTGTAAACATTCACTAAAATTCTTTTTTCAACTTCTAATTTGATGGTAAACTACCAAGGTGCTGTTCTTCTAAAATCAAATATGTATTTCTTTAGAAATTCAGAAAAAGTTTTTTGTGGTCAACTCTTTCAGAAAGAAGGTTTCTTGACAATAGATTATTCTAGAATCTTCACACAACTTCCACAATTAAATTCTTTTTTCAAGTTCAAGCTTTTTCAAATCTTCGTATCTAACTTCTTCGAATCATCTTGAATTTCCTCTCATTTTAGCATCAAGACCAAACTAAAGTCGAAATTCTTTTTTTTTTTATTTTGAGGAAATACCATTTAAATTGGGATTTATTGTGAATATTATACTAAAATATCAAAAAATATATTCTATTTCTTTCTTTGTTGCTATTTTTCTCATTGTTGTAACTTAGAAGGTACAAAAATCTAGTATTATTTTTCCATCTCTTTTCCCCTTTTTCTTTTATTTTCATAGATCTACTTAATCTAGGCTACATGAAAAAATTATAAAACAAAAATCACGTACAACCCATGAAAAATTCTGGTTATAGTCCACCCGTTTTCACGTTTTATTCCACCTCGCTTCGGCAGCTTTCAAACAAAGCCGAAATAATGCAAAAACTCGTACGTCTTAAAAAATTGATCGTGTTTATATGTGCTTAAGAGATTAAGTACCTAAACGCCGTAAAAACAATAATGCTGGAATTTTACGGCGGCAATTTGCACGTTTTCCTCATAAAATATTTAAATTAAAACCGTGGGTTAAGCAGAATCTATAAAATAACGAATTCACAGGTGTGATTAAGTCGTTGTATATATTCGTTTTATTTCGGCGGTTACGCAGTATAAACGCGTTATCTAAACGCATCATTAAACGTCGTTCGAAAACTTTTGACAGCCGACAAGTTTTTCAGCAATAAATTCTTGTCGGCAGAGTGGAGATTTTTAACGCACAGGAAATTTAGATTTTATCTGCGGTGCTCGATTTTGGCGCACGTAACGAACCAGAAAGTCGTCGATACGGAATTTTCTTATCTGTTTACGTAACGTAAAGCGATTAAAGCGGGAAAGGGGTTGCAATTGTCAGAGCTTTCTAGCACTAGAGCTTTGTGTTGTCGGATTTCTCTCCACAATAGTCTAACCTGGAGTAGTCTTGTTTATTGCAGGTGCGAAAAAAGGAACCTCCGCATCCTATCCGTGTGGCAAAGACTATAGACGTTATAGCTCGAATTACTTTCCCGACCGCCTTTGCAGTTTTTCTAATATTTTTCTTCTATCACTACAGCAATCAGCAACCTGACGCACAAAAATGAGATGGTTTGGATAACAGAGATGTGTGATTCTAATAAAAGGTACATATCAAGCATTTTAAAATACAGTGTGATCAGCAAGAAGAAGAACTGTGCTGACGACTAGTGTGGTTGGTTCTTAATAATTATATTTATCTACTTCTACTATACCAATTTGTTGCAATTTATTATGAAGGTTCGCGAAACGTGTAGCTGCAAAAGCACTGTACATAGTATATTGAGATTACTCATATTTTGACAGGTAATTGTAATAGTTATGTATACACATACACACACATTTTTTCAATCAATTTGTGCATTACATATTGTGATATTACACGATGCGGTGAATTTTGTTATTTAATATATAGTCGAACTGTTCGTAATGTTAGAGACAAACGACAACCTCATCAGAATGCACCATCTTGTGGATACGCCAGGAACGGGTCGAGGATGATGATATTTTTCTAATTACTGTGTAAGCCGCGTTTAGTTATCTTCTTGCTTGCACTAGTACACATCCCCTGTGTTAACTACTACTAGCAGTTTCAAATCAAAACTAGCAATAATTGTAAAGTTATGGACCAAACCGGCGACGATGTGTACTAGAATCCTACCAACTGTGACCAAATTCGTGCCATTCTAAGCATAATTCTTATTATTTTTACTGCAATTTAAATGTGTTGCATACCACCTCTGTGATTATTGATATTTGTGTAAAGCGTACCTGAATTTCAGCACTCGTGCGGTGCGCTCGGGTCACCAAACGCACCGTACTACCAGTTGGATTACATTCTAAGCCACTTACATTTCACATTGCTGTCTTGAATTAAGTGTTAGTTTTAATTGAGGACAAATTCTTATTTATATGTCGTAAAGACGGGTTGTTGAATGTTTTGTTAAGAAAAGTGAGGACATTTTAAATAAAATATTTCATGGTGTGTTATCGATTTTGGCAGTTGTCCACGTTCAATGAATTGTTTTACATTCCAAGAGATTTTATAATGCAAAAGCTCAGTTTTGTATAAATGGATAGAAAAATTATTTACTTATTATTATTATTATTATTATTATTGTTGTTGAGTTTTTGTTTTGTTCATTTTTACCTCGTTCTATCCAGGAGTTTATTCGTTTATTGTCGACTCGGCGAATTCAATATATATTGTAAATAATATAAAGATCAGAATTGTGTTTTTAATCTAAGTATTTATAATCGTAATCGACTAGAATAGTACGTAGCATGCCAACATGCACGATAGAGCAGACACTGTGATGACAGACTGAACAGCTTTCAACCGGTTCGAGTAATTGTCGAATACATAATTTCAATGAAGAAACGAAATCGTGGGGCTTTGGCTTGATTACAGCAGTCCTTGTTTCACTCACTCAGAAAAGTTGTTCAATTTCTGGTTTACCTCAGCATGGAATTTTGCGTGACGGACACTTTGCTCTTGAACTTGCACCGTTTTCTTCTGCCTATTTTGTACATAACGACTTTCGTGTTTGAAGGGGGAAATTCTAAAAATTCCATGCTCAAAAGTATTCGTCGCATTCCATCGTCAAAGTTTCCGATGGCCATTTTCACTTGTATGGAATGCGATGGTTTCGATTTGTTTTGAAATTATTGTCGTTGCCATCATGCTAACAGCGGCTTTAAGTGACCTCATCTACCAGTATAGTCAGATTTTCTCATTCTATACCGTTAGAGCCAATATTGTTAGAACTTTGGCTTAATTGCCTTTACTATAATGCACCATAATCATTTAATCCTGTTATGAACGTGAAAAATCCTCAAAATAAATTTTGTAGCCAATGTCGACTCGACGTTATTGTACATATTTCCTATAATGTACATACATCGAATTTTAAATTAAAACACAATGTATGTTCTAATTCGTTACATTATACAATAAATATTTTCATCTGCAAAATGTTTGTTTTTTTTTTTTACTTTTTTTTGTCGCCTCCAAAATAATGGATTTTACTACTCTCGGACTGGAAATAGTAAGTATATTTGTTTATCTACAGCCTACCCAAGTCATCACTCTCTTTTCACGAATTTTTTCCAAACGAAAATTTGACACCTTTTTGTCAAATAGGTCTATAATCTAATTCGATTCTGTCTATATTGTTAAGCAATTTCACAATACAATTAAAAATGCGTTACCAAACAGTCAACAAAATCAAAAATCTTTGATGATTAATCTATATGTCAAATTCAAGTACACATAAAATGCCTTCAATCAAATGGTGGAACGAAATAGACTTATTGAATGACAAAACTGTGCGTTAATTTATTTAGCACTTCTATAATAAATCAAGAAAATCTACTTTTATTTGTTTCTCTGTTGACGCTCTTTCTAAAATCAACACACATTTAGCAGCAAACGTTACTACTTTTAAAAACAATACACATTTGATTCACAAGATTCATTATTCTGTTTAATACTCTTTTTAAAATCAAAACACATTATTAATTAGCGTTAAAAATTACTACTTTCTAAAACAAAACACACTAAGGTTACAGAGTTCGTATTTCTGTATTAGGTTACTTCTAAATCTGAAATCCAATTAGCCCACAGGATGACTACTCTTAAAAATCAAACACAGTAGATTCCCAGGATTCTTTATTCTGTTTTATAATATTTCAAAAATAGGAACATACTCAGCCCCAAAGATTACTATTCCGTTATGCTAAGGTACTTCTAAATATGAAACAGTTAACTCTCAAAATTACTTCTGAAGAAAAAAGCAAACACAATAAATTTCCAGGAATTTTCCCTACGCTCTTTTTAAAATCTAAACACAGTTAGCCTTTGAGATTGCTATAAGCAAGCACAATAGATTCTCAGGATTCTCTATTCTGTTTTACGCTATTTCTAAAATAGAAACACGTTTACCCCAAAGATTAGTATTTTTAGAACGAGACACATTAAATTCTTATAAGCCTTTCTATATTATACTACTTCTAAATCTGAAACGCAGTTGCCCTTCGAACTATTTTCTAAACCCGATTCCCTAGAAGTGTTGTTCTATTTTATGCTATTTTAGAAACACATAAAACCCCCGAAATTGCTACTTTTGAAAACGAAGTACATTAGATTTCCAGAATTTTTTAGTGTTCCTACTTTAAAAAAAAAAACACATTAAATACACAAAATTCTTTTTTCTGTGTTATGCTACTTCTAAATCGAAAACATAGTTACCCCTCAAGATGGCTATTTTTAAAAATTCAACACAATAGATACCCTAATAAATCATCTATTCTGTTTTATGCTATTTCTAAAATTTAAATACATAAAACTCCAGACATCGTTATTTTTGAAAACAAAGAACATTAGGTCTCTAGGTCTCTGTATAATATCTAATGCTATTTCTAAAATAGAAACACATTTAGCTCCAAAGATTACTACTTTTTAAAACAAAAGATATTAAGTTCCTAAAATTCTTTTTCCTATCCTAGTTCAAAAATCAAAATACATAAAACCCCCGAAAGTGCTACTTTTTAGAACAAAACACTTGAGACTCCAAGGATTCTGTATAGTATTTTATGCTATTTCTAAAACTGAAACACATTTAACCCCAAAAAATGACTACTTTTTTAACAAAACATAAAATTTTCAGAAATCTATTTTCTGTACTATGCTATTTTTTATTATACTGCTATATTAAAAAGCAAGCCCGATAGATTCTCAGGATTCTCTACCCTGTTTTATGCTATTTCTAAAATAGAAATGCGTTTATCCCCAGAGATTACTACTTTTTACAACAAAACACATTAAATTCCCATAATTCTTTTCTCTATGTTATACACTTCTAAATTTGAGACACATTTCCCTTCGAGGTTGCTATTTTCAAACCGATTCCCTAGATTTTTGTTCTGTTTTATGCTATTTCCAAAATAGAAACACATTAAATACATAAAATTCTTTTTTCTGTGTTATGCTACTTCTAAATCGGAAACATAGTTACCCCTCAAGATGGCTATTTTTAAAAATTTAACACAATAGATACCCTAATAAATCATCTATTATGTTTTATGCTATTTGTAAAATTGAAATACATAAAACTCCAGACATCGTTATTTTTGAAAACAAAGAACATTAGGTCTCTAGGTCTCTGTATAATATCTAATGCTATTTCTAAAATAGAAACACATTTAGCCCCAAAGATGACTACTTTTTAAAACAAAAGGTACTAAGTTCCTAAAATTCTTTTTCTTATCCTAGTTCAAAAATCAAAATACATAAAACCCCCGAAAGTGCTACTTTTTAGAACAAAACACTTGAGATTCCAAGGATTCTGTATAGTATTTTATGCTATTTCTAAAACTGAAACACATTTAACCCCAAAAAAATGACTTCTTTTTAACAAAACATATAAAATTTTCAGAAATCTAGTTTCTGTATTATGCTATTTTTTATTATACTGCTATATTAAAAAGCAAGCCCAATAGATTCTCAGGATTCTCTATCCTGTTTTATACTATTTCTAAAATATAAATGCGTTTATCCCCAGAGATTACTACTTTTTACAACAAAACACATTAAATTCCCATAATGTGTTTTGTTGTAAAAAGTTCTAAATTTGAGACACATTTCCCTTCGAGGTTGCTATTTTCAAACTGACTCCCTAGATTTTTGTTCTGTTTTATGCTATTTCCAAAATCGAAACACATGAAACCCCAGAAATCGATATTTTTGAAAACGAAGTACATTAGATCTCCAGGTTTCTATATAATATCTTATGCTATTTCTGAAATAGAAACACATGTAGCCCCAAAGTTGAAAAATCAAAACACATAAAACCCACGAAATTGCTACTTTTTAGAGCAAAATACTTAGGATTCCCATAATTCTTTATGGTGTTTTTAATACTATTTCTATAGTTGAAGCGCCTTTAGCCCCAAAGATTATTACTTTTGGAACAAAACATATTAAATTTTCAGATTTCTATTTTCTATATTATACTACTTCTAAATCTGAAACACTGTTAACCCACAAGATCGCTATTTTCATAAACAGAAACCAATAGATTCCCTAGATTTTTTGTTCTGTTTTATGCTATTTCTAAATAGAGACAGGTTTAGCTCCAAAGATTATTACTTTTTAGAACAAAACACATTAAGTTCCCATAACTCTTTCTTCTATGTCATACTACTTCTAAATTTGAAACACTGTTAGCCTTCCCGACTACTATTTTAAAAAACTGAGCACAATAGATTTCCTAGATCCTCCAAAAATTCGTATTTTTGATAATAAGCTACATTAGATTTCCAGAATGGAGCTATTTTATGCTATTCTAATTCTATATTTCTAAAATTGAATCACCTTTAGCCCCAAATATTCCTACTTTCTGGAACAAAACATACATATTAAGTACCCAAAATTTTTTTTTCTGTATGATACTACTTCTAAATCTGAAACAGTCAGCCCTCAAGATTGCTAACTTCGAAGACTGAACATAATAGATTTTCTAGATGTTCTGTTTTATATCATTTCTAAAAGCAAATCACATAAAACTCTAAATTACTATTTTGAAAACAAAGTACATTAGATTCTCTGGATTCTTTATACTGTTTTTTGCTCTATCTAAAATTACAACATGTTTAGCCCCTAGGGTTATTACTTTTTAAAATGAAACACATTAAATTCCTAGAATTCTTTTTTCTGTATTATGTTTCTCCTAAATCTGAAACACAGTTAGTCCTCGAGATTGCTATTTTTAAAAATTCAACACAAGAGTTTCTCAGAATTCTTCATTCATTTTTATGCTCATTCTAAAATCGAAGCAAATTTAGCCCCAACGATTACTGCTTTTTAGAACAAAATAATTTCACATTCACATTTTTTTCTGTAGTATGCTACCTCTAAATTTGAAAAACACGGTCAGTCCTCAAGATTTAAAAAAAATATTTCTTAAAACCAAACAAAATATTTAGATTGCCAAGATTTTTTATTCTGCTTTATGCTATTTCTAACACCGAAACCTAACACACATCTAAGCTTCGAAATTGCTACTTTTGGAAACAAACCACATAAAACCCTAGGATTCTTTATTCTATTTTACACTAATTCTAATACCAAAACACAGTTAACTCTTTAGATTGCTACTTTTAAAAGCACAGATAATAAATTCTCAGGATGTACTATGTTATGCTACCTCTAGATCTGAAACACCGTGAGCCCCCAGATTGCTATTCTAAAAACCGAATACAATAGAGTCTCGAAATTCTTCATTCTGTTTTATGCTATTTCTAAAATAGAAACATCTCCCGAGATTGCTACTTTTAAATAGCAAACCCAAGAGAATTCCAGGATTCTTGACTCTTTTTTTGCTATTTCTAAAATAGAGACACATTTGACCACCTAAAATTCCTATTATTTGAAACAGGTACATAACATTAGCAGGATTCTTTATTGGCTTTTATACTGTTTCAAAAATCGTAACACATTTAGGCCCAAAAGTTTACTACTTTTTAGACCAAAGCACATTAAATTTCCAGCATTCTTTTTCCTGCAATATGCTACTTCTAAAACTGAAACACAGTTAGCTTCCAAGATTGTTGTTTTTAAAAACCGAATACAACAGATTCCTAGGAATCTTTATTCCCTCCAGATTGTTATTTTTAAAAACCGAACATAATAATAGATTCCCAAGATTCTTTATTCTATTTTATACTACTTCTAATACCAAAACGCAGTTAACTCCTTAGATTGCTACTTTTATCAGCAAAGATAATCAATTCTCAGGATGCTTTATTCAGTTTTAGGTTCTTTCTAAAATCTAAGCGCATTAAATTCCCAGAAACCTATTTTCTATGTTATGCTACTTCTATATCTGAAACACTGTTAGTCCTCAAGATTGCTATTTTTAAAACCAAACACAATAGTTTCTCAAAATTCTGCATTCTACTTCAT